AGCCAAATTAGGGAATCGGCCTAGGTACTCATCAGCAGATGAGTAGATAAAGCGAAAGTGGATATATACAAACGGAGTTTTTTTCAGCCATGAAGAAGAATGAAATTCTGTCTGGAGATCATCATGTTAAGTGAAATCAGCCAGTCCCACAAAGACAGGTATCACACTTTTGTCTCATGTGGAAACTGGGTGCAGGGGAGGACAGGAAACAAACTAAAAGGAGAAGTACGGGTGTGGAAGGGGGTGAGGAGAGTCTCATAAGGCTGTGATCAAGTATGCATTTATGAATGTCATGAGACTCCTTTCTATAATTTATGTATGATTATTTTTAAAGAGCCAAAAACATTAAACAGTAGAACAGAAAAATGAAAGGGAAACACTTTAAAAATTACTTTTATCATCGTACTAAAATTTTCCTTTTGGCCTGATTTTAATTCTCTAAATAGCTCATCCCTATAAAAATTGCTATGTGAAATGTATTTTGTCTTCTGAAATAATAATCTGCCTATAGATTTGCAAGATAACATCTAAACCATATGACGTTTTCCAAATTTCTTGAAATTTACTGAAAAATAAATTCTTCTCCCCATGTCTTAAGACTTTTCTGTTTCTTCCTGTTGTCTCAGTATTATTAGCTCTCTGTTCAGGACACTTTTTAAAGAACCTGTGCTAATAATGAGCACCACCTGGTTTTATTTTTCATGGCACTGTCATTTTTCATCTGCGATTTACTAGCCCACTGGAACTGAATCTGATATTTTTAGGGTAGGGTCCCTTCTTATCTGTGATGTTAGTTACCTGCGGTCAGCTAACTACCCCAGAAATAACTCCTGAGTTTTCACTGAGCAGTATGGTGATGTCTTGTATCCTTCTCATCCTGCCCAAGACAGTGGATTGCCCTTCTGAGCATCCCATTTATACTGTGCCCCCTGCTCACCAGTCAGTCAGTGGCCATCAGACTGTCAGAGTGACTGCTTAGGTGTTCCCAGTGCTTGTTTCCAGTGCTTGGCCCTTACTTTGCTTAATTGTGGCTTCAAAGTATGATACGAGTGATGCCGGTTTCCTAGGTAACTGGGATGTTCTGAAGAGAAGTCATCAAGAAATTCTTTGAGTGTTAGCTCATATTGTCACAAGAGGAGTGAGTTTAGTACATTAAGATATTTTGAGAGTGAGCAGCCATATCCCAGCGAGTCTATTAGCGTATATTGTTTGAATTATTCATTTTATTATCGTTATTGTGGCTAATATCTTAACTGTGTCTAACTTATAAGTCAAACCATATCATAGGAATATACATATAGGCTGAGCCTCCCTGATCCAAAATGCTTAGGACTAAAAGCATTTAAGGTTTTGGATTTTTCTGAATTTTGGAGTATTTGTTCATATATTTACAGGACAGGACTCTAAATATAATATTCTTTTGTGTCTTACATACCTTGTATGTGCAACCTGAAGGTGAACTGGGATGGTATTCATAGTGCCCATTTTTTACAAAATGGTATTTTGCCTGTGTCCTCATCATCATGTGGAACTTTCCACTTGTTGGCATAATGTGGTGTTCAGAAAGTTTTGGATTTTAAAGCGTTTTGGATTGAAAGCATTTTGGATTTCTGAATTAGGGCTCTTTAACTTGTTTAGGGAAAAAGAGGGCTGGTTCTATCCAACATGAAGCATCTGCTATGTCTGGGTCCCAGTAGACAAAAGAAAATGGTTCCTATATTCCTCCTGGAATAATTTATTTTGCATTAAAACGTCCTGCATCCCTGTAGTTCTAGAAGAATCAGCTGTATAAGTAAATCCATTTATTCTTTCCTCATCTAATATTTTGTGCCATCAATAAAATCATAGATGCTAGAACCAGTCTCAACAGCTGCTTGATGAAGGAGTGATGTTCCCATGCCCAGAATCCTGGGGTGAAAAATCTAGCAAGTAAGAGAAGATTTATGTAATTCTTTTCTAAGAGAAGAATAGTTGTGCAGTGGGTGCACGTGGATGGAATCATAAGGAACACTGAACCAGGAATAACAATGTCTTTAAACCCACAGTGTATAAAATACCATCCAAGCATTTTGAGCAACATTCATGCAAGGCAGTCTGCTTGAATACACAAAAGCAAATTATTTTCTCAATTGTATAAATTTATGTGCCTCTAATCTCTTTACAATATAAGCCAGGAAGCATAATGAACCAACTGATTAACCAACTGAATTCTCTCCATTGCTTATCAGAAAACATGGAACACAATTCCAGTTTATTATATTTAGCCATGAACCTCATTCTAAACTCATGGTCTATCATGAATCTTGTAAGGGTTTGAAATTTATGGTTCTTATGTCCATCTCTATTAAGCAATTGAAAAAAGAAAGTACATAAGCTCAGCTACTTCTGGGTTACTAGGATAGAATTCCCTTCCTTAAGTCACACATTTTGAAGTAGAGGGTACCTGAGTGGTGTTTAGCAGCAATCCATTTTAGATCAGGAGACTGGGGCACAGGGAGATTGATTTGTCTATAGTCACAGGTGAGTATATCTATGAGTGAAAGCCAGGGTTTCTGGTCATTAGCTCAGTTCTCTTGCCATTACTTTTTATTTTTCATAGTTTTAGCCATTAGAATTGGAGCATTAAACATTTGGGAGTTTGTGTTTTGTTTTGTTTTAGCTAATTGAAAAATTGCAGTTAAATACACATAGCATAAAATAATTAAAATAAAAATGGGTGAACTTGGGAACTGGAGAGATGGCTCAGCAGTTAAGAGCTGCTTTTGCAGAGGACCCAGGTTCAGTTCCCAGTGCCCACATGTTGGCTAACAACCATCCATAACTTCATTTCTAAGGATTCCAACACCTTTTTTTGACCTCCATGGGCATTGCACAACACAGGTGCACTTATACACATAAAAATAATAAAAAATTGGGGGCCTTTTTTGAAACCAGGTTCCCCTGTAGCCCCAGCTGGCCTGGAACTTACTGTGTAGACCAAATTGGCCTTGACAGAGATCTGCCTGCCACTGCCCCCCAAGTGTTGGGACTAAAGGCATGCGCCACCACACCTGTCTGAAAAACAATAAAAACAATTGTTTTTTAAATGGATGGACATAGAACACAAATGGCAAGGTTTAGCGTGTATTACAGTGCAAAGTCCCTCTCTTCCACTTAGCTCCTGACCTTCCCAGTTCCACTTCTCAAGGGGAACCACTGTAAGGAATAAGGTATTTTAAGCAGACTGTCGGAGTCTAAGATGCATACACCAACTTCGGACTGCAATGTGCTTTACAGGTTACAGGCTGGCCTGCCAAATTTAGGGACTTCCCATTAGAGGAAGAGCATAAGCCATGGAATTGAAATTGGAGAGATTTATTAATTGGATTTGAAAATTACCCAAAGTCCATGTTATTTTCAGTACTGGAAGGAAGGGCTCCTACATATTTGCAGATACTATCTATTGTGGAAATCACCCAGAGTATAAACTCACTCATATCTCCATGAGAAGTAGAGTCCATATTGAAGTCCTGCAGAACCAGCAGCTACAAGCAAACACTACATGGATGCTTGGCTCCATGGCCTCTGGCTCTGAAACCCTTAGAGGAAGGCATAGTATGGGTCTGCTGTCTCAGGCCTGCAAGCTGCAGAAACCCTGGTGCCTTGTCCTTGGACTGGGTACAACCAGGCCACTGAGTGAAGAGGTGAAGGGCACCCTGGGAGCGCACGTGCACTGTGACCACATGGCTACTGCTGAGGCTGCACAGTGTGGACAGCAGTGGGCAGCAGCACCTCTCTCAGTGCTGTACCACCCCAGTAGACTTAACAGCGGAGGGTGACCTGATAGGACATCTCACAGCTCAGAAAAGCTACAGGCTTACAATGCCCAGCAAGCCCCAGCCAGGGATCCAAACACAAGGAAAGGAACTACAAGCTCTGTGAACCAATGAGTGACTGCCACTGGTTCAGTGCAGGGGAAGGGTATGGAAGTTTCAAGCCAGCTTAGAGGAAGAGAAATGAGACTGGATTTGGGGAAGGGGTAGCAAGAAAAGGAGAGGTAGGTGAGACTATGGTTTGGAGGGGAAGGTCAGTGAGTTACACTGTTAGACTTGGATTGTGGGTCCATGTTCCACTCTGTGGCAATGGTTTTCAGACTTCTAAGCCCATGTCTCCCTTCCAGAATGCTTGCCAGAAGTTAAAATGAGTGGGGTGTGTCTGTTCTACCCTGGTGAGAGTTGAATCATAGGCTAGTTTTATAAGAGTTCTAAGTGATTCTAGACTTTGATCTGTTCATTGGTAGCAAGATGAGAGCTCTGTTTCAGAAAGTACATCTTTTTTATCCGATAATAATGCCTTGAAGCTTTAAAAATGTTTTACAATATTAATCCACAGTGACTGCTAAAACATCAGTGCTGTAACTTTACAAATGGAACCAGAATGGTGTTTTCTGTGCTATAACAGTGCTGCCATTTTTTTTTTCCCATCTTGACTACTAACTACGCTGTTGTTAATCAGAATTGAGAGACTTTGTATAATGTTAGTCAACTTTGTGTCACTGTGACAAAATACCTGACATGATCGACTTAAAAGGAAGAAAGTTTTATTTTGGCTCAGGGTTTCAGAGGTCTCGGGCCACAGTTGCTTGGCCCTGTCACTTTGGGCCTGTGGCACCACAACACCTTGTGGTGTGTGTAGGATGGAGATAGTCTGTTCTCTTGGTGGCCAGGAAACAAAAAGAGAAAGAAGGGTCTGGTCTCAATATCCCCTTCAAAGACATGAGCCCAGTGACCTCACTTCCTCCAAGTAGGCCTCGCCCCTTAATGCCTCCACCATCCAATAGTGCTGTTGGCTGAGCACTGGGCTTTGAACACATAGGCCTTTGCAGACATTTTGGATCCAAACTGTGGCCTGAGACTTCTGAAACCCTGAGCCATTGGACTTAGAATTTATAAAGCCCTTATTCATCCCCTTCATTTTAGTAATGAAAAAACAGGCTTCAGTGACATGAGTTTTCTTTTCAGATAGGAGCCAGGGCTTCAGCCTCCTCAGCTCGCTGGCTGGAGGCAACCACAGTGTTGTATCAGCAGAGAACCATCACTCCTCCCAGGTAAGGAGTTTTCTAAGATCTTTTTCCCTCTTTGACTTTAAATTTCCTTGACATTATGAATCTTCACACATTCTTCACATTTTTTTTTTTCCTATTTTAAAGAGCTGCTGAGAGGTTTACAGTTGATAAAAGTCGAAAATCCCAAGTTGGCCTGTTGTGCATGGGCCCTGTTGAGGGAATAGTTCAGCCCCACATAGTGCTCAGTTCTCAGCAGGTTTGCACCTAGGAAATTATGTGGCTTTTTGTAAGTATGCAAGGGTTTCCTAGCAGTATAAACTTACCTGCAGATCTGAAAGAAAATGAGTTATTCTGTTTCAATACAAATCTGAGGCAAGTCTCTGTTCTTAGTGAGCTGACAGTCCAGTATTTCCCTCTGTCCCCAGCAACTGTGTTCTGAGATTACTTGTCAGCATACAAGATCCCAGCATGGATGGATGGTGTCTTGTCACGTTCTTTTCCCAACCTCTGAGCTTTTTTGTTGTGATTGTATATATTTTTACAGTGTGAAAATAACATGGATCTTTACAAAACATTTTTAACTTCTTGTTTGCCGTGTGTGTGTGTGTGTGTGTGTGTGTGTGTGTGTGTGTGTCTTCACATGTCTAAAGGGGTATGTAGAGGCCAGAGGACAACCACGGGTGTCAGCCTCAGGAACATCAGCCGCCTCCTTTGAGACGGAATCCCTCATTAGCCTGGAGCTCACCAGTTAGGCCTGACTGGCTGGCCAGCAAGCCCCAGGATCCTCCTGTCTCCGTCTCCCCAGTGCTGGGATTACAGGCACACTCCACACCTTTCTACAGTGCTGGGGACCAAACTTAGGTCCTTGTGCCTGCAAGGCAAGCACTTACCCATGGATCTTAAATGACATAAACAGAACTGTATTTTAGTGGCCTATAGCAAAATCCTAACACTGTGTAGTTTTTTCTTGAGGGGAAAGACCATGAGGTTAGTGATTTGAGAGTGTGTGGATGTGATCTCCTCCTTTATTTCCTTGCTTCAAATTCTGTTACTGCTTCTCTACACCTAGCTGAGGAGTGTGAAGCCTGAACCATTTTGGACTTTTAACTGAAGTAGTCTACTATTAAACTGTTGCTTCTGTGTATTTTCCCCAACAACAGCCGAGTTTGCCAGCTGCAGACAGGACAGACTCCCTCCCGGGGCACCAAGGTGGCACATCCAGCCCAGTAGGTGCACAGGTCGACAGCATTGTGGGTGAGTTGTTCCCTGGGCTACCAAGAGATAACTGAAGAACTTGGAATCAATATCTGGGCAGTAGTCATTGAGGAGGGAAGTGACTTTAAACATAACACAAAGAAGTGGCTGTGACCCTTGCCCATGGATGCCCTAACACATAGACGGCACCTTTAGCACAATCTTAATTCAGGTCCCCTTAACGAAAACAAAGGACCAGGCGGTGACCAGTTCTGTTTTCTGCAACTTTTTTGTTGTATTTAACAGTAACCAGAATGGATGGTGACAGGAATGTCATAAATTTATATATATATGCCCTTTCATATCCTTTTAAGGTTTTTTCATATCCACTTTTTCATCTGGTTATGAAGTTTGGCAGAGAAGATGTGCTGTGGTGATGAAGCCTAAAAGCATTTAGTCATCTGTTAAAAGACACACAGCACCTGGACCAGACACCAGAATCTAGTCTGTTGTCCAAAGTCCAGGAAACCAAAGAGGTTAGTTGACAGTCACTGTGACTGTCCTTCATTTGGGACAGTGATGTTCTTGCTTTACCTTTGTGCTGCCCAGGGCTCATGCTGAGTAATAACTTTTTAAACAATTGTGAGTTTTATTTTGATTTTTTTGGGTTTGGGGTTTGTTTGTTGAGACAGGGTCTCCCTGTAGCCCCAGCTGGCCTGGAACTCATACATAGCCCAGGCTGGCCTTAATTTCACAGAGATCTGTCTGCCTCAGCCTCCCAAGTGCTGGAATTAAAGGAATGGGCCACCATGCCCAGCTAAACTATTGTTTTGATTTTTTTATTATTATTATTATAAGATAGTCCAGGCCAGGTGTGGTGGCGCACGCCTTTAATCCCAGCACTTGGGAGGCAGAGGCAGGCAGATCTCTGTGAGTTCAAGGCCAGCCTGGTCTACATAGTGAGTTCCAAGACAGCTGGGATTACAGGGAGACCCTGTCTCAAAAGACCAAAAAAAAAAAAAAAAAAAAAATCCACAGAGAAAATTCAAGTGATTGGTTATAGTAACATTAAGAAGGAAAAAATAAATAATGTGTAGACTTTTTCTCTTCAGTTTATTCAACCTTGACCTCCTAATTGAGTCTTTCCTGTATTGGATTTTAAAACTGCTTAAGTTTCCACCATTAAAATAAAATACTAATCACACTGAAGGGGATGGGAGGACACAAACCTAAGTACTTTGCAAATTGCAGTTGGATTGGACACTCCAAAGCTGGAAACAGGACTGGACTGGAGAAGTTGACTTTGACTTAATAAATTTGTTCCTCACAGGGGCATAGGTTAGCAATTCTGAAACTGTGTGTGTATGTGTCTACTCATGCACGTTGCATGTTAGGGTTGAAAAATGAGAAAATATAATCTAAATAATGAGAGCTGGGTTATTCACAATCAGAAAAGTTATAAAGAAAGAGGAGGGATGAGATGAATCCTTTATCAGATTGGCATCTAACATGTTAGTATGGGTTCATGGCTTAAAGATAAACTTCTTGGGGCTGGAGAGATGGCTCTAGTTAGGAGCACTTGCTGGTCTTGGAGGTAATCTGGGTTTAGTTCCCAGGACCCATATCAGGCTGTTCACAACTGCCTGTAATTCCAGTTCCAGGGGATCTGGTGCCCTTTTCTGGCCTCCAAGGATATCTGCATACACGTACACATGGGTACACTCAGGCACACACACACATAAAATAATAAATACATATTGAAAAATAAGATAAACTGGGGCTGGAGAGATGGTTCAGCGGTTAAGAGCACTGGCTGTTCTTGTAGAAGACCCAAGTTTGAATCCCAGCACTCATGTGGTGGCTAACAAACATTTGTAACTGCAGTTCAAGGGTAGCCAATGCTGTCTTGGTCTGGGTGCACTTACACACATGCAGCCAATATACTCACATACATAAAAATAAATAAATTTAAAAAAAAAATAATTTATTGAGAATTTCATACAAATATATAGGCATATAAGGTGTTTTGATCAAATCTATGCCCACTCCCCTCCAACTCCTCACATATCTCCCCATCACTTTTTCCTGACAACTTCATGTACTCTTTTACTTTTTTTTTTTTTTTAAATGGGGCTTTTTGCTACTCTAACATTCCCCCTCTGAAGAGGTAACCCTAAAATCTTTAAAGGATTAGATAAAAGCTCCCAAATACTTTCGACATTTTTGGCCTTTGGGATGGAGTATGTTACTAAGAGGCCCAAGGACACTGTGAGTTTTAGCCAAGAAACTGGCTACCCTAACTGCCTAGCCAATTCCTACCTCCTATTCTTATCACACCATCCTCTGAAGAGGTTACCCAGCTTGTGGATAGGATAGGGAATTGGGACGCAGACCGCTCTGGCTTCTTCCATGCTGGGGTGAGGCAATTGGGGTACCCCTTCAGTGGGTCTATCTAAAAGACTTCCAAATTGCATAACTCTTATCTGTAGGGTGACAAGAAAATCCTTGACTGGTGAATAGGAGATATGAAGGAGAAGTAAAGGCAAGAGTAGTTAGCATTACAGGTTCTGTACAGGGAACTAGAAAAAAGTCAGAACTGTGCAAATTTCAAATGTTCATATGAGAGTCCATTGAAATTTCTTGACAAGAGCTTCCCAAAGCATCCCTCTAGTGGGTTCCTCATTTTTCTTTTGTCTGCCAAGGCTGGACTCGAGAGTGATGGATTTAGGATTTGCTTTCAGACACTTTGATAGCTGTTGGAGTGGTTAGAATCAGTTCCTTTCTACACAGGGGGAGAAAACAAATTTGGCCATCATTTTAGAACAATAGCAGGTTGTCTCCCTTAGCTACAGGTTGACACTATAGTATTACAGATCAAGATTTGAAGTCTTACATCTGAGCAGCACTTTCTGATTCAGAACAAAATCATCAATGAGAAATAATTGTCTAAATAACTTTTTATATGGACTTAAGCCTAATGTCTGAGAAGTGTAATCCCTTGAACTCTTAAAATATACTGATCATTTTACTCTTTGGTTATACTTTCTTTTTGGGTGTTTAACTTCATACAGTTTGCCGCTCTCCGTTCGCCCTGGGGGCCACCTGCGGCCGCTCTTCTGCTCGCTAGGTGCTGTCTCCAGGTGCTGCTGCTCCTCTTGCGCGGGCGCTGCCTGTGGCAGCTTTCCATTCACATGGTGCCAATCCCATGGGCGCCGCTTCCGATCACACAGGCACCGCCTGCAATCGCACAGGCGTTGCCTTCTGGGCACCGCCCTTTTCTCCTCGCTGCAGGTGCAACCTGTGGCCACTCTTCTGCTCACCTGGCGCTAAGGGTACTCTTCTGCTCGCCCAGCGCTGTCCCTGATTGTTGCTGCTTCTGCGGGGTCCCAGATCCCAGGGCTGGTGAGATGACTGTGTCAGCGGAGCCGCATTCAGACACAGGAGACCAGGTTCGGTGGCCCAGATCTACTTTACTGTAGAAAGGCACAAGCTTATATAGGGGTAAGGGTGAAATCAAGAAGTTACAACTCAGATCTTTGGCAGGGCTGTGTCCTATCATGACATTGTGAATCAGGCACCTCATTAGCATAATGGGTTTCAGGTTACTTAGGTTCGGTTTCCTCTATGGGGCCTGGATTCCTGGGAACCACGTGATCCTGGCTGTTGCAATATCTAAGTGTTGCAATTTAGAATCTCAGGGGTGGTGACCAGGGAGTGGCGAGCTCTAGGCATCAGTCTCATGATCTGCCAATGGGAGCAAATGTCATAAGGCGTTCCTGTGGCTCCAGCAGTCGGGCCATTGCCTCAGGTCTGCTGTATGGTTGTCATTAAGACTTTCACCCTAGGCTCAAGCCTGTCTCCCACACAGTTGACCCAAATAAATCAATTTATCTTTACACTTAAGGTTGTTTGAGTATCCATTCCTCAGGGGTCACATGGGCTTTGCAGGAGCTCCTGGCTCCTTTCTTTTACTAGTTCCATCTATGTGAAGATAAGTCAAAGGTCCTACTCAACCATGGCTGGCTTCACTTGGAAGCATGGAAGAGGTATTTCCTCTGAGTTGACCCTCCTCTTTGTAGACTGGACACTGGTTCAAGTCCATCTGGTGGGGTCTCCATGGCCTCCCTAAACAAGAGGACAGGTGACTCACCACAGTTGCAGGACATTTTGAGAAATGTTCCATAGTCCCCTGGAACTTAGTTGACCTTGAAGGGCAAGGGGCAAAAACTGTCCTTTAAGTCCCTCTGACCAGATTAGTATAGACTTCAAAGTACGGCTGGCTGTTGAACATCCAATAAGGTTAGTTCTACCAGTCTGGTACTTTAATTACCGTGTGCCATGTAGATAAAGCTTGGGTAAAAAAACAGAGTGTTCTCAGACAAACCTTGACTAGATATATATTTTTTGTTCCTTAAACTAGTTGATTAAACTATGACCTTGGAAAATTTAAGATTATGTGTATATTATTTTTGTCTCATCCTTTATATATCATAACAAATCTACACAGACCTTCACCTCTTGCTTAGGCTTTCTCATTTTTTTCTGTTTTGGAAAATATCTCCATTCCCATATCCTTTTAACATCTTTTACATTCTCATTTTCTTTCTTTAATAATTATGAGACATAATAACATTAACAAATTTTCCATCTGTTATGAGAAGTCTTTTCCTGGGGATACTAAGCAATGCTTATTCCCTTTTAAGGTTCTAGTGTCACTAATATTTAAAGTTTTACTGGGGAACCAATGAATTTACTGAGCTTACTTACCAAAATAACTGAGGGTTTGCTGAGGTGTATGAATGACCTGAGGGTGTGCACACTGGAAAGCCTTTACCCAGCATGGATCAAGCCTTCTCTTCCTAGCTTTCCCCAGATTATATACTTTAGCCCTCCCCAAATCCAGGAGACCGTGTGTGATTAGGGCCAAATTACATACAGTTGGCTGGGAAGAGTGGCTGGGTACTCTGGTGAGGGTCCAATGACCCTGCTTGCCCCTCCTTTAATGAAGGAGCACAACCGACAAGCCCAGTTGAAATAACTACCATCATCATGACTTCAGC